CAGAGATCTGGACTAAAGATATTTAAGCTTGGACCTTTTCCCTATCGGGCGCCCTAAGTGAACATTCTTGGTTTTCACTTTGGAGAATGCCGGAAGAGACCCCAGGTTCCTGCGATCACCTGGCAGCCTTTGGCCAAAATGATTCCTGGAGTTGAATTTTCATAAGCACACACCTTAGGTGATAGTGAACTTCTTAGACGAAATAGTATTAATATCTTACTTCATTGCCTTTGGCTTTATTGTTTGTTTTGCATAGAGTAGCAGCCATTGTTTTGTTTTGTTTTGTTTGTTTGCTCTTTTTTTGTTGTTTGCTTTTGATTGTGGTGTTTTATAGTGAAATCTGAGTTCACAGTTCCTGGTTGTATTACTGTAATGTTACAGTATCTCCTAAAAAGTGGACTTTTTTTCCTGATCGAAAGAACTGCACTTAATTTATTCTCATTACAGTGGTGTTCTGTTAGCCAACTTTGCCCAGAACGTTCAGGGTTTTTAAACGTCTCAATAATGTGGTGCAGACAGTTCGTTCCAGCTGCGACGTGTCCATGAGAAGTGTGGTGGGTGAGCTGTGAAAGGCGCCGAGGTGTGTGGGAACCCAGCTGTGAGAAGTGAGTGGGTGGTGGCAGAGGCCGTGGCCGGACCCAGTGCCTGGGATGCCATGGCGACAACGCTGCAGCAACTTCAGGAGGTGGTGTTTCCTTAGGGGTGGGGGATGGGGGGGGCAGAGCCTATCGGTGGGGGCGGGGCAGCGCGGCGCCAGCCAGTGTCTGTGGGTCATTCGTACCCAGGCCCAATGTCAGGCTTCACATGTTGGAAGAGAAGGATTTTCTTAAGTCTCCGTGGCACCAGAGCTGCTCCTCCCCCCTCAGCGGCTTCCTCCCCTTTGCTGGTTCCTCCCCTTTGCTGTCCTTTAAATCTTGGAGAGCAACGGGGGTCGTCGCCTTGTGTCTGTGCTCTGTCCCTTGGTGATCCCGGTTGTGTGGTTTTGAATACCGTCTTCTGCATTCTGACCGTTCTCACAGCTGTGTCTCCAGGCTGCACCCACACATCTGACCGCCCACGCAGTCTGTGCGGCCCGCAGTCCACGCTGACGGGTCCGAAAGGGGGCTCACCTGCCCCCGGAAACCTGCCCCGCCCTGCTCTCCGCCCGCAGCCCCGGCGCTCTGTTCTCTTGCTCAGCTCACCGTCCTCGGCGTCTTCCGAGAGGATGACGCCTGTGCTCCCCTCTGCCTCTCCAGGTCGTCAGCAAACCCTGGAAGAGACCCACGGGGTGGTCACTGCTCCCCACCTCCACGGTTACCGTGTTCGGGCTGCGCCCCGTGTTTGCTCACCTGCCGCCGGCCTCCTCCAGCCTTCGCCCTGGCCGCCCTGCTCTGTCCCGCACAGGGGCCGGAGCCGTGTCACTCCCTGTTCACATCCGCAAGTGAGATTCACAGTCCTTACATCACCCCCCAGCACGTGTTCATGCTGGTGCGGAGGACACGCTCCCCTGTGGAGGGATGCTGAGTAATTGGTGAAACACTCTGCCCTGCAGTGTGGGCGGGGCATCGGGACGGCCCCCCCGTGCAGAAAGGGGGGAGAGCAACGCCACCGGGAAGAAGCCTGATCAGCACTGTGTCAGCCACGCGAACGAGGTCAACACCAGCGTGGAGAAGTCATGGTGATAGGATGTGATGGAAATGGCACGTTACCTCCTCCCCCGAACCTTATTTCTGCCCCCTAACACATGTAATCATGAGAAGAACATCAGCAGATTCCACTTAGATTCTCAAAATACATGACCAGCGCTTCTCAAAACTGTCAAGGTCATTAAAAACAAGGAAAATTCGAGCAACTGTGACAATCCAGAGGAATAGGAGATATGATGACAGTGTAGTGTGCTGGTGGATAGGATCCTGGGACAGAAAAGGGGCATTAGGATTTAAATAGTTAATAACAGTGTATCAAATTAATTCATCAGTCATGACAAAGGTACCATAATAATGTGAGATGTTAACCGTAGGGAAACTGTCTTCCTAACTTTTCTTTAAATCTGAAACTATTCTAAAATTACAAGATTATATTTAAGAAGGGTCCCCTTCCTGCCCTCCCCTCACCCATGTGCCCTAGCTACAGGTCCCCTTGTTGTTTCTCTAAGGAGGCTTCTCTCCTGGAGGGCATTCTGAGCCCCAGGAGACATTTGGCAATATCTGGAGACATTTTTAGCTGATAGAGAGGTGACGCTATAGGCTTTTCATGGGTGGAAACCAAGAATAATACTACATATTCTATAATGCCAAGAACAGCTCTCTAAACCTCTCCTCTCCCCCCCAAAATTCCAAAATGCCAGTAGTGCTGAGGCTGAGAAACCCTGGTCCTTTTACATTTCGGGTTCTCTTTCCCTTCAGGTTACTCTCTCTTGCCTTGCTTTCTTTATTTTTCTCCTTAGCACTTAATCGTCAGCATCTGATACACTCTATTTGTCACCAGGAAATATACCACCAGGAGGATTTGTTGGTAGGTTGTTTGGTTCACTTTCATATCCCCAGCATCTACAATTATTCCCAGCACATGGTAAGATGGTAAGCGCTCATTAAATATGTGCTGACTGAATGAGATAATTGATGAAGGGAGGGAATGAATGATAAAGATTAACATATGCAAAAAAAAAAAATCAGGTAGTCCATTGAAAATGTATACATTTCTCAAGTTGCCTGTTCTCCAGAAGTTACCACTGTTAGCAACTTATTTTTTTATCTGTTTCCAGAATTTTTCTGTTCATTATTAAGCACATTCATGTACTCTGTATACAATTTATCTCCCCTTCTATTTTTTACAAACATAAATAGGATCAGTTTAGTTTTTCCAGTTAATGTATCTGGACATCTGTACATACCAACATATAGAGGGCTGCCATAATCTTTTTATTGCTTAGTATTTTATAGGTAGAATTAGGTAAAAATACTTTAATTGCCTCCAACAGAATCCCGGTATAATACTTTGTCATGAAGTGGATAATAGTGATAAGTTTCCCGAAACAAAGGCAGGGCTTGTTTAATATCATCTTTCTAAGTGTTCTTTAAAGCATTTTATATATGTGTGTATGTTTAGTCCTGGTTTGTAAATGCCTTGAGATGGGAATCTCTGTCTTTTAAAATAATCTTTAACTCCATGTACCTTGCATGGTCTGTCCCATAGCAAGTTTCAGTACGTGGATGTGGAATTTAATTGAAGTTGTTATTTGTTTTAATGAAATTACTGCATCATTACAATATACTTAAATTTCCTTAAGTTTTAGAACTGTTGAACAAATTAATAAATAGTTCTGGGAGGAAACTGTTTTGTTATTTTGTTTAAGAGACAGTTCTTCTAGAGGCCAGAAACCTGTCTAATTTCGGCTACTGAGCCGAAGATATGATACCTGAAGAACAAGTTAGGGCGCCAAACTTGAACCTGCTTCAGTATCAATTAAGCTTCTAATTGCTTTCAGCGTATCAGGTCTTTTTTCCCTAGTGACATGAGTAATGGGGCAGAGTTGGCAGTTGCGAGCTAAGATACCGTAAATTAACGTTGCCCCCCTACTTCCAGCCTGGCTGCTAAACCAGCCCCCAGTCTGTGTTCCCCTCACCCGTGGGAGCATTCACGCTGGTGCGTGTTCCTTTGAGAGTCACTTTGCCAACGGTACGGTGCTGTCCTCTCCTCTCAGTGCTGGGACGTTTTGTGAGGCTACATTGAGTTAGGCGAGTTTGTTGGCATGTAGGGGAGCAGTTGGTCTGGAAATAAGGGTTCTGCTTCCCAGCCCCATGGACCGCCGCCCTTCCCAACTTCTCCCTCTGGCCTGCTGTGCCTCCCGCCTTGTTGCAGTCACTGGCCCTCCCCCTGCGTTGGCTTAGGTGATTTGGCTCTATGTGTATGTTGTGTTCCGGTGACAGGTTGTGCAGAGCCCCAGCGACAGTGGGCACTCTGTGAGCACTGGTTGTTGACAGGAGTGGTGATAGGACATTGCCGTGGTTGGTGAGATGTGCTTCCCTGACTTAGAGAGGGATAGTTCTGTTCGTCATCAGGTTGTGGGGTTTCCTTTGGTAAACAGACTTTTTTTGGGGGGGCACTCGTAGTTCAGAAATGACCGCATTATCACACTTAAGTGATACAATTATTTTAATACACTTAAGTTGTTACATAGCACTGAGACAGTAAATGCTGACATTATGTAGGGAGTGAACTTAATCATATAAAGGAATAATTTCAGAATAATTTTGAAATGAGATTACAATCTGTCATTATGGGAGGTCATATAAAACCACCGTCAAGTATTTTTGTTGTTTTAAATTAATTGTTCGAAGCTTCTCATGCTCAGGATACTGCAGCAGCATTAAGTTTGTGAGCTTTTGAGCATTTATTGTAAGTAAGGAAATGTAAACAATGTACGTACTCACCTTGTTTAACAATTGCTTATATTTGCCTTGAAGATTTAAGTATAAGAATACACTTTAGTGCCCTGGCCGGTTTGGTTCAGTGGTTAGAGCGTCGGCCTGTGGTCCTGAGAGACCTGGGTTCGGTTCCCGCTAAGATCACGTACCTCGGTTGCAGTTTGTCCCCGGCCCTGGTTGGTCGTGCAGGTGGCTACTCGATGTGTTCCTTTCACGTCGATGTTTCTCTCTCTCCCTCCCACTCTACCTGAACAAAAAATGGAAAAATGTCCTCAGGTGAGGGAAAAAAAAGAATACACTTTAGTTGTTACAGTTGGCAGTCTTTCATCTGATGCTCATTAGGATTCTTTAACTGGAGTCATTAAAATATGAAAAAAGAGTGTTCTTAAACTTAGTATCCCCAAACAAATAAAAAGCGTTGACACTTATATTGGAAAACAGAAAAAAAATCTAAAGCCACTGCCTTTTTTCATATTGCACAAAGATGGAAAATGCTTTATGAAAATGTAAGGTGTGAAACAAACTGTAAGAAAACAATGTACACGTTTTGGTTTTATTTCCCCGGAGTAATGATTATTGTTTCTCCTGTTTTAGGTCCCTGAGCGTGGAGCAATGGGGAGACTCTTGGCCGTGCTCCTGCTCCTCCTCCTGCAGCATTTTGGAGACAGTGCTGGGAGCCAGACAGTTGGACAGAATCCTCTGCAGTTTACACAGCCCCATTACGATGTCACTGTGCACGAGAACTCTGCAGCCAAAACCTACGTTGGGCATCCTGTAAAGATGGGCATTTACATTACAAATCCATCGTGGGAATTAAGGTACAAAATTGTCTCTGGAGACAATGAAAATCTATTCAAAGCTGAAGAGTACATTCTTGGAGACTTTTGCTTTCTAAGAATAAGGACCAAAGGAGGAAACACAGCTATTCTTAATAGAGAAGTGAAAGACCATTACACGTTGATAGTCAAAGCAGTTGAAAAAAACACGAATGCTGAAGCACGGACAGTGGTCAGGGTGCAAGTGCTGGATACAAATGACTTGAGACCGTTGTTCTCGCCCACCTCGTACAGTGTTTCTCTACCTGAAAGCACAGCCATCAGGACCAGTATTGCCAGAGTCAGTGCCACAGATGCAGACATAGGAACCAATGGAGAATTTTACTACAGCTTTAAAGACCGAACAGACATGTTTGCCATTCACCCAACAAGCGGTGTAGTCGTTTTAACTGGTAGACTTGATTACGCAGAGACCCAGCTCTATGAGATGGAAATTCTTGCCGTGGACCGTGGAATGAAACTGTATGGCAGCAGTGGTATCAGCAGCATGGCCAAACTAACAGTTCATGTAGAACAGGCCAACGAATGTGCTCCTGTGATAACAGCGGTGACATTATCACCGTCGGAACTGGACAGGGACCCAACATACGCAGTCATAACAGTGGAGGACTGTGATCAGGGCGCCAATGGGGAAGTGGCATCTTTAAGCATCGTGGCAGGTGACGTCCATCAGCGGTTCAGAACAGTGAGGTCCTCTCCAGGGAGTAAAGAATATAAAGTCAAAGCAGTCGGGGACGTTGATTGGGACAGTCATCCTTTTGGCTACAATCTGACACTTCAGGCTAAAGATAAAGGAACTCCTCCCCAGTTCTCCTCTGTGAAAGTAATTCACGTGACTTCCCCACAGTTCAAAGCTGGGCCAGCCAGGTTTGAAAAGGATGTTTACAGGGCAGAAATAAGTGAATTGGCTCCTTCCAACACACCTGTGGTCATGGTAAAAGCCACGCCTAGTTATTCTCATTTGAGGTATGTTTTTAAAAGTGCACCTGGAAAAGCTAAATTCAGTTTAAATCACAACACTGGTCTCATTTCTATTTTGGAACCAATTAAAAGACAGCAGGCATCCCATTTTGAACTTGAAGTAACAACAAGTGACAGAAAAGCCTCCACCAGGGTCTTGGTGAAAGTCGTAAGTGCCAACAGCAATCCTCCTGAGTTCACCCAGACATCATACAAAGCATCTTTTGATGAGAATGTGCCCATCGGCACCACTGTCATGAGTGTGAGTGCGGTAGACCCCGATGAGGGGGAGAATGGGTACGTGACTTACAGCATCGCGAACTTAAACCCTGTGCCATTTGTGATCAACCATTTCACTGGTGCTGTGAGTACTTCAGAAAGCTTGGACTATGAGCTGATGCCTCGGGTGTATACTCTGCGGATCCGCGCGTCGGACTGGGGCTTGCCCTACCGCCGGGAAGTTGAAGTCCTTGCTACCATTACTCTCAATAACTTGAATGACAACACGCCCTTGTTTGAGAAAATAAATTGTGAAGGCACGATTCCCAGGGATCTAGGGGTGGGGGAGCAGATCACCACTGTGTCTGCCATCGATGCTGATGAACTTCAGTTGGTCCGCTATCAGATCGAAGCTGGAAATGAACTGGATTTGTTTAGCTTAAATCCCAGCTCCGGGGTATTGTCATTAAAGCAATCACTAATGGATGGTTTAGGTGCAAAGATGGTGTTTCACAGTCTGAGAATTACAGCTACAGATGGAGAAAATTTCGCTACGCCATCATATATCAACGTAACTGTGACTGCCGGCCGCAAGCCAGTACACTTGCAGTGCGAAGAGACCGGCGTGGCCAAGATGCTGGCAGAGAAGCTCCTGCAGGCGAATAAATTGCACAGCCAGGGGGAGGGCGAGGACGTTTACTTCGACTCCCACTCCGTCAATGCGCACGCACCACAGTTCAGAAGTAGTCTTCCAGCTGCTGTTGAGGTGAAGGAAAGCCAGCCCGTGGGTTCCAGCATCGTTCTCGTGAATGCTACTGACCTTGACACTGGCTTCAACGGAAAGCTGGTCTACTCCATCTCTGGAGGGAATGAGGATAGTTGCTTCATTATCGACATGGACACTGGGATGCTAAAAATTCTGTCTCCCCTTGACCGGGAAACAGCAGACAAGTATATCCTGAACATTACAGTGTTTGACCTTGGTATACCGCAGAAGTCCGCTTGGCACCTTCTGGATGTCAGGGTTCTGGATGCCAATGATAATCCACCTGAGTTCTTACAGGAGAGCTATTTCGTTGAGGTGAGTGAAGACAAGGAGGTAAATAGTGAAATCATCCAGGTTGAAGCCACAGATAAAGATCTAGGGCCAAATGGACAGGTGACGTACTCTATCGTCACAGACACCGACGCATTTTCAATCGACAGCATGACTGGTGTCGTTCAGGTTGTGCGGCCTCTGGATCCTGAGGTGCAGCATGTGCATTACTTAAAGATTGAAGCCAGAGATCAAGCCACAGAAGAACCCCAGTTGTTTTCCACGGTACTTTTGAAGGTCTCAGTAGAGGATGTTAATGACAATCCCCCAAAGTTCATTCCACCTAATTACCACGTGAAAGTTCGAGAGGACCTTCCCGAAGGAACCATAATCATGTGGTTAGAGGCCTATGACCCCGACCTAGGTCAGTCTAGTCAGGTGAGATACAGTCTCATGGACCATGGAGAAGGAAACTTTGATGTGGATAAACTCAGCGGAGCAGTTAGAATCGTACAGCAGTTGGACTTTGAGAAGAAGCAGCTATACAATCTCACAGTGAGGGCCAAAGACAAAGGGAAGCCAGTCTCTCTGTCGTCCACTTGCTACGTTGAAGTTGAGGTAATTGATGTGAATGAGAACTTACACCCACCAGTGTTTTCCAGTTTTGTGGAAAAGGGTGTAGTGAAAGAAGATGTCCCTATTGGATCATCAGTAATGACAGTATCAGCTCATGACGAGGACACAGGAAGAGATGGGGAGGTCCGTTATTCCATTAGAGATGGTTCTGGTGTTGGTGTTTTCAAAATAGATGAAGAAACAGGTAAATATGTTTTTATTTCTCTGTTTGATCTCCCTCCCCGTTTTTTCTGCAGCAAATGTCTGCCCTGTGCTAGCTCCTCCACAGTTTCCTGTTGGCCGGTTGGGCTCAGGAGGGAAGCCCGTGTGCATGCTGCTTGTCCTGCTGCAGGTGTCTGTATGTGTATTAGATAGTCGTGAAGATGGAACCAAAGGAATCTGGATGCGCTGCCAAAAAATGAGTGAAAAATGAGGAAGCATCAAAATCATGACCACTGATACTGATCTCTAAGTTTGAGCTTTTCCAGAAGCATCATTGTGGTTTTGCTGTAACTTGAAGCCTGTGCAGTTTTTCCAGCTAGTGTGTTTGCAGACTTAGAACAGTCACTCCCACCCCCTAGCATGCCTTTTAGAGCAGACCTGCAGAGCTGTGCAGTGCACAGAGAGAAGACCCTACTGAAACTTCTGTCACGTGATCGCCTTTGCTTAGCGCCGTCTCTTGTTGGAGAGGCAGATCGAGAATGTTGAGCTGAGAGGACCTGGCTTGGAGTTTTGGTTCTTTCCGTTGTTAATTGGGTGATCTTGGACAAGTTGATTATCTTCTTCAAACTGACTTTATTATCTATAAGGTGGGCACACTCAAAATTACTGCAAGATTGATGTGAGGATAAAGTGAAATAACATGAGAAAGCTTCCTAGCATGTGTTAGAGTCTGTTAATGTTTTGGAGGTGATAGTGGTGCTTTGTCAGGATATTCTTCCACCCAACAAAGGTCCCCAACCAGAGCATCCCAGACAGCTGATTTCTGCTGGAGTGGGTATTGTTTTGCACTTGGTACGTATGTCTTGATTTAGCTGCTTTTCATATCTCTTTCCTATAGTTGTGTGTCATTCTCCTCTGGTGGAATGTGAGCCTTGATACTTTGCTGGGGCTGCCCTAACAAAGTACCACAGTCTGAGTGGCTTAAACAACAGATACTGTTCTGGAGTCTGGAAGTCCAAGGTCAAGGTGTTGTCATGGCGGGTTTCTTCTGCACTCTCTCTGCTTGGCCGGTATAGGTGGATGTCTTTTGGAGAAAGTCTTCACGTGACTTTCTCTGAATGTCTGTGTCCTCATCTCTTCTTATGAGGACACCATTTGTATTGGAGTAGGGACCAGGCTAATAACCTCATTTTAACATTTATCTGTATTAAGGTCCTGTCTCCTAGTACAGTCACGTTCTGAGGCACCGAGGATTAGGACTTCAACACATGAATTTGAGGTGTTATAATTTACCCCCAAACCACCTTTAAGGGAAGGTTTTTAGCGCATACATTTTCTATCCTGAGCATGTAGCCAAAGGTGCCGTCATGTAGAAGCTGTTCATTAAATGTTAAAAGACTGACTGATTAAATTAATTATTTTGGCTTTGAATGTCTTGCCCTCTGAGAATAGTGGAAATAGAAGGAAACTGGGCAGTCCGCATTCATCAGCCATAGATGGAGCTCAGTTTACTCATCTCATGGATGTTTCCTTTACTGATAATTCTACTCGACAAAGGATGCTTTCTTATTACATTAAAACTTTTTTTTTAATCCTCACCCGAGGACATTTGTTGATATTTTGTTCAGATAGAGTGAGAGGGCGAGAGAGAGAAACATCGACGTGAAAGGGACACATCGAGTGGTTGCCACCCGCATGACCAACCAGGGCCGGGGACAAACTGCAACTGAGGTACGTGCCCTTAGCGGGAACCGAACCCGGGTCTCTCCGGACCATAGGCTGACGCTCTAACCGCTGAACCAAACTGGCCAGGGCCATTAAACCTTTTTTTATATTTAGTAATACCACTGGATATTCAGTCAATACATAAGCCAGTACCCACTCCCATATCAAATAGGTATATAGCATATGAAAATACAATTATTCTTCCAGAAGTTATTTTAGATGCTGTAATATTTTTAATGTGCTCTAGTTTATTCAAGAGATTCTTTTTCTAATGAATTTAATACTACTGGCATGTATTAATATTTTTTACACACATCCCCTATTATACCACTCATCTAATTACCCAACATAAAATGCTCAAAATAAATAGCATGATCAACAGCTATTAGTAATCACTAACCTGAAGAGAAGAATAGATTTTTTGGGGGGGGGGTCATATTCTCCAACGTAAATTAGAATTTTCAGGTACAATGTCAACAGAAAAATACCCAAAAGTTAGTAACTGAAGTTGAAACTATGAAGTGTTTGTAATTTCCTCAGGACAGTTATTCCCACTTTTTTCTCCTTTTCTAAAGTGGGTTTTGCAAGCCTATAAAGAACTGTTGTAAGTTCAAGTTCAGACAGAAAATAGAACCAAAACCTTAATTTACATTTCTTTGATGACTTAAATTATAGGAGCACTGCCTTTTCGGTTTTTTCTTTCCAGTGAAAAGACTATTTTTGTTGCTTTTTAAAGACATTTAGAAACAAATATTTTTCACCTATAAATTGAAGAAATCAATTTACTACCAAGAAAGAAAAATAAAGGGCCCTGACCAGTTTGGCTCAGCGGTTAGAACGTTGGCCTGCAGACCAGAGAGTCCCGGGTTTGGTTCCCACTAAGGGCACCTACCTCGGTTGCGGTTTGTCCCCGGCCCCGGTTGGGGTCGTGTGGGTGGCAACTAGTCGATGTGTCTCTCTCACGTTGATATTTCTCTCTCTCCCTTCCTCTCTCCCTCCCATTCTATCTGTAGATAAATGCAAAAATGTCCTCAGGTGAGGATAAAAAATAAAGGAAACAACTCACCAAACACGATCTCCCGCAGTTTTCAAGTTCAGTGAGTGCCCGGCTCTTTCAGGGGCAGCTTCGTGGGAGGCCAGGGATTATGGGCAGTGGGGTTGGGAAGTATATACGAAACGGTTCTGCATTTGTGTAAATATTGAGATTTAGAGGTGAGAGAAAAGTTGGCAGTTTCTAGGTCACCTGTACCATAATCCTTGCTTTACAGAGCAAAATATGTAATGTACAGTAGATTTATGTTTATATATGCTTTTTGAAATTAAATAAAAGTGATATAGTAATATTCATACATTGGCCTGGTACACATTACAAGATGTATTTTTGGCAGTAGAATTATCAGCCCAAGTTATTTTAGAGAATCCTAGCAAGTGAACTGATATCATCAAGTAGAATTCCTTCAGGGAAAGTCAGTAGGTTTTGTGCAGTAGAATTACTAAAATTAGATATGCTGATTTCTTCATCTGAGGTTTGCCTGACTAGTTTCTAGGACAGGCTGGAAGTGCATTGAGGTGCCTGTCAGATGGGGAAAAGGAGGAGCAGTCCAGGAACACCAGTGGGGACCGCAAAGGACCAGCACCAACAGGGCGTGGAACGAGTTGGCCTGGCCCGAGGCAGGGATATTGGCACCTGCCTCGAACTTCAGAGGCTGCTCATTGCCCGCTTCTGCCAAGCTTCCCTCCTGGTCATGCCTCCCGGCCGGGCTGTCTGACGCGGCCTGGGCAGGAGGGCTTTGCCTCCGGAGACCAAGAACTTGCCACCTACCTGTTTGCTTCTTGCCTTTGACTTAACTTGAAACCATACTGTTGGCTGAGTAACAACCAGGTTTTGGGGATGTTCTACCTATTTCAACATTGTCAAATGTGTGTATCATGTGCATGCTTTTCAAAGAACAGAGAATGTATTAAGAAATCTGAATTTAGTTCTTACTATTTTTAAGATCCTTTCTTTTCTTTAAAAAACAAAACAAATTTACATTTGAAGCATCCCCTGAAAAATAGTTTTGTTTTTTTAGAAATAGAAATTCTATGGACTCCCTAAAATATGAATAGTCCTGTCAGGCCTGGATTTTGCTAGCTGGCTTTGCAGGGAGGTAGCTGGTAATTGCTGTGTGGGGGTGGCGGTTGACTCATCTGATAATCTCTCCCTGTATCATGTGTTTTTCCTGGAGAGGCCTCTGGGTGGGTGTCAGTGAATTGTTCTGGCAAACCATGCCCACACGATTGCTCGTCCATTTGAGGTTTTGAAGGGTAGAGTGTGATGTGGAAAATGATTTGGAAAGTCAGTCTTGTTAGAGAGCCAATCTCCGGTGCTGTCATTAAGATTCTCCCCTTTTTTGTCTCGACATCTACAGTGATGATTATAAAGCAGATTTAACAGGAGTGTGAGTTCAGCACGGATCTTTGAAGCATATGTGATTTCACATTTACGTTCTGATTTGCCCGACTTTATACTTCTCCGCATTCACCCCATTTTCACTTCAGATACATTCCTGGTTTCTTTGTTGTAAGCTTCAAAGTTGAGCAGAAGAGAATCTTGAGCCTCGGTCCTTAGATTTGTGGAATCAATTCAGCTTAGTGTTCCTGGCTGATGGGTACCCATCCACGTTCATTATAACTTGAGCACCAATAAAAAGTTGCAGCTTTTTGCTAATTATTAAAACTAAGGCTAGGTCTAGGACTATGGTTGGCCAAAGATTTTTCAGATTGTTAATAGAAACTTGTGTAGATCTGTTCCACTGATGTATGTATTATAATGGAATGTTCTCCCTTCAGTCCGGAGTACTTTGGTTCGGTGTTTGGCTGTTTTTATAATGCAGCCCAATAAGAGGGTCTTCCCCTCTGACAACTTATTTGGGGAGACCATGTTTTTCATTAAGATAAGAGCAAATTCTATACTTACTAATGCTGTGTTACTTTTAGCATCCTCGTCGGGGTTTCAGGATTGAAACTGACATTTTGATGAAAAGACTTGGAATGAATTAATATGGAAGTGCAGCTGTTGCAACAAGATAAATCACCATTGGTGACATGTGGGAGGGGATCAGGACTCCATTTTTCTTGAGAGAATCTGGCCTCGTTCTCGCTGTGGGGGAGTGTGCCGTGCCGTTCCTGTGTTGCCCACTGGGAGATTACCCACTTGGCGACTGGCCCCTGCTCTGCCTTCATTCGGGCCACGGCATGAGCGCGTTTGCGTAGTGGGAGCAGGCATTCCAGCGAGGGAAAAGGTTTCTGGGGCTTCTGTCTGGTTTGGCAGAACTC